ATCAGGCCTCACTTTCCTAGAGCTATTACTAGACCTAGGCACAGTTTACCTTGTCACCAGACTCAGGAAAAGAGATAAACTCACAAAACAGATTTCAAAGTAACTTTTTACTATTCCTTTATTAAAGGATCTCAGTTTACAATAACTGCTCTCAGTAATCAACCACCTGTATCTTGTGGTGAATTGTTAGAAGGAAAAAAGGTGTAAAGTTTGTGTAAGATCTGAGGATGTGAAAGCTTAAGTTGTGACAAGAAAATGACTTAAAGTGTGTAAATGCAAGGTATAAGAAAGTGACTTAAGCTATGTAAAAATTAAAAATGTGGGCTGGAGAGATGTCTCAGCAGTTAAGAGCAGAGGACCTGGGTTCAATTCCCAGCAACCACATGGCAGCTCACACCTGTCTGTAACTTCAAGATCTCACACCCTCACACAGACATACCTGCAGGCAATACACCAGAGCATGTAAAATTAAAATAAATAATTTTTAATTGAAGACGTTAAAGAATTGTTCCCTTGCTGTGCTGCTGTTACACAGAGGCTTCTACATTGCGGAGATCTGAATTAACAACGGAGTTCTGATCAGCTGTTCTCCTTGCTCTGGTAAAGCACTGCTGCTATCATAGTCACAAGCTCGAGGTTTTACATTTCCTTTGCTTGTCTTCTAAGTACAGACTTAAAAGTGCTTCTCACTGTGCTGAAAATGCTCGTGAAATCTATACACACCCAGTCTTCCAGAAAGAGGGAAGAGATCCAGCTTTCACCATATTCATACTGTATTCATACTGAAAATCAAGATCAAGGGAGCTTTTCTCTTCTGCTCCGTGGGAGGTTCCTATCCTCTCTGAGCTCACCTTAAAGAGTGTTCATACTTTTAACCCAAAGCATTTCCCAACCTTCTATGACAGAAAGGAGTTAGTCTACTGCCTTTTCTACAATGTGGATTTCAGTACAGATTACAAACAATGGTAATGCTAATATATCTAAACATTTTCTTAAACTTAAAAATTCTCATAAGCTTCAGGAAATCAACTTGAATCCACCTCTTATAGATCAAATGGACTCCAGATAAGTATTCCTGTGAAGCAATAGCCTAAGTTTCCCCACCTACTGCCTATTCCTGAGGGTGGGATCTCTCACCATTCCCTGGTTTGGGACTCTCCTTCCCCAACTTGGGTCATATGCCTAAAAGTATCAAATATACACCCAAGAAAAAATTCTTAACTTTACCTATTCTTCCTATTCTATCTGTCCCAGCAGATATCAAATCAACTACAGAGTGCTCAAGAGCCAGCTCCAAGTGATCCCTCAATATCTGCATTCTGGACAACTTTAAACTGGCTAGCCCCAGATGGTCCAGACTCACTGACTGCTCCAACTAGGCCTGCATTTTCCTAGCTCCAGATGTTCCCATAGAACCTGGACAGTGAGTGAAACAGCCTGCTCTTTCAGGACTTAGCCTGCACCTCAGCATTTTGGTCTCCAATGATGTCAACACTCTCAAACATCAGGAAGCAGTCTAAAAAGCATGATGTCCACATTCCTACCTCAGCATCACCCTTCCAATGTCTCATCTTTTATAATAAACAAAAGTGAGGAATGTTAGAAATCAGCCCCTCCCACAGCCTTCCCTCAGCTACTCCGCACACCAGCATCTAGGATGTCATGAGTTACCAGCACTTTGAAAGATCCCTGCCATCACAGATCATTCTCTTGGTTTCTCTCTCTCTTTCTCTCTCTCTCTCTTTCTTTCTCTCATTCTCTCTAGCCCCCACTCTGAGATGGCCTTTTACTCCTTCCTCCTCCCAATAAGCCTCTAATATGAGATCTGTTGCATGGCATAATCTTGACCTTAACATTGGTTCTGTTGCTAAATCCTAACAGGTGCTAAAGGATCTCCAGTTAAGTCTTCAACTCAGATTTTAAGGCTCAAACTTAACAAGGACAATGCTGTGAAATCCTAATCTCATAAAAGCTATTAACTTATAAAATATTATATAATTCATTTAGTGATATGCTCTATTTAGCCTCCTCTATGTGTTTTCAAGCTTAAGCCTAAAATCAGGTATACTTAATAGATAATGGTCCTCAAACTCTTCAGAGATTTTCTGACTATGGCATTCAAAATGATTAATGAGAAAGCTTAACATTATAGAGAGAAATGTTCCTAAAGGGAACTCTGTGGTCTCCAAATAAGATAGATGGGGCACAATGACTCCAACGGAATTGTGATAACTCTTGCCACTGGATGAAACTGCCCCACGCCTTGCCTGTTTTCAGGGCTCTGCCCAAGCTATGGACCCTTTTGGGTTGATGGGCCTTCTGTGCCTGGTCAAAGTGAGGTCACTGCTCCAAGTTCCTTCTCCACAGGACAGTCTCTCAGACCTGGGTTGGCAGCCAAAGGCCCATGCTGCTCTGTGTGGCAGCTGAAGATTAAATGCTGTCCTGTATGACAGCCAAAGACCTACAACCACTGTCCCCAACAAAGCCATGGAGACCATGGGAGCCTAGGGCAGCCATCTAGGTAGTATGTGAGTCTTGGTCTTTTTTTTTTAGATTTATTTATTTATTTATTTATTTATTTATTTATTTATTTATTTATTTATTATGTATACAGTATTCTGCCTGCATGTATGCCTGCAGGCCAGAAGAGGGCACCAGATCTCATTACAGATGGTTGTGAGCCACCATGTGGTTGCTGGGAATTGAACTCAGGACCTCTGGAAGAGCGGCCAGTGCTCTTAACCACTGAGCCATCTCTCCAGACCGAGTCTTGGTCATTTTAATTGATACATAAGCCATTTAGATTAAACCTCCTGCTATAATTTATCCTTCTCAGATTCCTGATGATATTGACTGACTATAGCTTTATAGCAACAAGCTTATCCGCTCCTCCCCCAAGGTGTCTTCTCTTTATAAGTAAAACTCAGGCCTCAGGCCTCACTTTCCTAGAGCTACTAGATCCCCAGCTGAGGAAGACAAGCAATTTACCTTGCTCCAAAATTCTGAAAGGAATAAACTTGTAACCAGAGTCTCCCAAAGACCAGCAAGAGATCAAATCCAATGTAAAAGCAAAGAGTCTTTTTATTGTTGAGAGTTAATTCAGATCTTTCTGTTCATCTAATGCAGCAGCAGATCAGGAGAGACACTGAGTAGCAATCAAGCAGGGTTTTTATAGTGGTTAGAGTTGTGGACCTAGGGCAATTCCAACTCTATATAGTTACAAGCTCAGGATTGGTGCTCACTTCAGGTTAGAGACACTTGGTTTGAACTGATTGGAGAGTTGCAGCTGCAAGGAAATTGCTATATTCTCTAGCAGTTTATGTCAACATCAATGCATCTATATCACCAACAGACCGGTTTTCTCTGACAGTAAGACATCCCATTTTTATCTGCAGGAAATTCATTCCCTCTGACAGCTATGGTATACAATCTATAACAGCAGAAAACATCCCACAGGACATATCTGGTGCTCTGTTTATTATGCCAATTATGTTATATCCTTTAGGTTATGGCAGGAAATGTATGGTGTGCAGCTCCTAATGCTCTGGGTCTAGGGGCAAAGGGACAGCACATCCTTTGGTGGATTTTTTAGAACAATTTGTCCAAGGGCCTGGTGTACCTGTCTGACCCTTCTCTAAGATGGCTGCAATTCAGTCATCCTCTCAAAACTCACAGATGCTTTTAGCCCAAAATAATTTTTGGATCCCCAAGCTTTTACTATGACTCAAAGGTGTGAGTCTACTGCCTTTTCTACACTGCAGATTTTAGTATAGATTACAAACAGTGGTAATGTTAATATATCTAAAACTTTTTTTTCTTTATTTGTTTTTCAAGACAGGGTTTGTATGTAACAACTCTGGCTGTCCTGGAACTTGCTCTGTAGACCAGGTTGGCCCGGAACTCACAGAGATACACCTGCCTCTGACTCTGGAGTGCTGGGATTAAAGATGTATGCCACCACTGCCTGGCTAAAATTCCTGTAAGTTTCAGAGAATCAACTTGAATCCACTTCTCACAAGTCAGGTGGACTCCAGATAAGTACTCCTAACTTCCCCCACCTCTCTATTTCTGGGGTGGGATCTTTTCCTCTTTCCCTGAACTTGGGACCCCTCCCCCAGCTACCAGGACTATGGGCTTGGAAATTTCAAGTGTATACCCTGAATAAAAATTTCCCCCTAAACTCCTTAATTGTGCCTTCTCCCTAGGCAATCTGTCCCAATAGATATCAAATAAACTATGGATTTCTCTGGCAACTGGTCAGCTCAAGGTGTTGCTTCAGAATCTTCATACTAGAAGCTCCAAGGTGGCTAGCCCCAAGTGGTTCAGCCCCATAGACTGCTCCAATTCAGTCTTTACTTCCCTAACCCCAGAAGGTTTCACAGAGCCTGGACAGTGAGGGAAACAGCCTGCTCTTCCTGGCCTTGGCCATCATCCTGGCTTTCTTGAATCCCCAACAAGGACACTTCAATGTCAGCATGAAGTAATCATAGAAAAGAAGACATCACCCCCTTATCATTTATTTATTATCAAAAAAGGCTAGGATGTTAGTAATCAAACCTGAAACAAATTGCTAGCTGAAGTGCCTGTTAACATATCAAAATGGATGCTGAGCACCAGGTGTTCCCAGCATCCCTCAGTCTCTACCTATTAGAGTGCCCTCCTCGTTGGCATACCCCGTCCTCTACCCTGAACTCTCCAGCCCAAGTATTAGTCTGGGCTCTCCTTCTCCCAGGTCCCCTATCCTCCCTATAACTCAGCCATTTCTCTCTGCCAGTATTTTGTCCAGTCTCTTGGCCCAGGCCAGCCCTCTTGGTCATCAGTTCCTCTTCCATCTCCCCTTTCCTCACTTGGCTCAGGATGTGTTCACCCTGGACTCTCCCAGATGTCCCTGTCACTGCCTATGCCCTCCCTTTTATCTACAATAAACTCTCTTCTCCTCCATACCTAGAAACAGTCATGTCCTTCCTTTATTATTTATTTTGTTCATTCAAGGGGAAGATTGTACTTCTGTTTCAGAAGGAAAAGGAGGACACCTCTGCAGTGACAGGTCTCAGCTCACACTAGAAATGCTGATCTGGTTAATCCATCAGTGTCCAGCTCTGTGGACCACAAAGAGCTATAGCACAATGCTTCCACTTTGCAGGGTAGGTTGGCAGCTGGTCAAAGCATCTGAAAATTATAGCAGCGATTTCCCCTCTTCTTAAGACTAACTGTTGTCTTAGTTATTTTTTTTATTGCTGTGATAAAATATCATGGCTAGTCCATGTTAGTACACATTGTTAATGTCAGCACTCAGGAGGTAAAGTTAGGTTGATCTCTGTGAGTTTGAGGCCAGCTTGGTCGACAGAGCTGATTTCAAGACAACCAGGTCTACACAAAGAAACCCTGTCTCAAAAAAAACGAAAAATACCATGACCAAGGCAACTCAATGAAGGAAGGGTTTTATGGGATTATGGTTCCAGAAGGATAAGAGTCCACCATGGAAAGAAGCAGAAGGTACTAGAACAACAAGCAGGCTGAATCTCACACCTTGGACTACAAGCAGAAAGCAGAGAGAGTGAACTAGACATAGCATGCATCATTAAACTCTCAAAGCCTGCACCAGTGACATATTTCCTTCAGCAATATCACACCTAATAAAATATCCAAACTGGGGACCAAGTGTTCAAATGTCCAAGACTATGGGGACATCTCATCCAAACCACCACAGCATTCAGCTGCTCACCTACTCTCTCCAGCAATGATTTGGTAACTGAAAAGGATGACCAGAGGGCAGGACACGGTGGTCACCACACCTTCCCTTTCTGTCAGGAAGCTGGAAATGAGCTCTGGCTATGGACTGTCTTCTGGTCTCCAAGTCCTCCTGCCCCCAGTGCCTTTGCTCCCAGCCTCCTCTAATGTAAAGCCAGAGCACACTTGCATCTATGCCTGTCTGCTGGGTCCTCATAAACGTTTCTTCAGTCCAAACACCCTGCATGAAGCACAGCCACCTCTGAGAAGAGGTGACATACACAGAGGAGAAAGCAAACAGGACTGGTCCAGGAAGCAGGCCCAGGACCAGAGGGACTTCTCCTGAGGCAAGGGCAGAGCCTAAGCTGTGGAGATCTGGGTTTGCTCTGTAATTCTTTCAGGCCTGGGCACCAGCAAAACAGTGTGGAGGCTCCTGCAGCATGGCAGTCAGAGTGCAGTGGGACTGCCAGCCTTAGGCAGGTCCATGCTCTAAGGCCACCCATGATTCCAGCTCAGTTCTTTCTCCTGTGTCCAGGCTTCCTGTTCCTTGCCACATACCCTTCCTAGGCCTCCTCCTGCCAGCACTGCCCACTGACCCCACAGCTGCCCCTCCTCCAGGCATTGTCTCCTACCTGAGGCACCTCCCACTCACCCAGATTCCCTGCAGCTTTCTCCTGGGCCTGAGCCCTGAATCAAGTATCTGTTTCTCTGCACAGTCTGAATTAATTTCCCAAGAACCAGAGAAATGAAACTGAAACTAGGTCTGAGCTGACAGAGAAATGGAACAGGGAGGGGGAGAAGGAGGGAGCAGGAAAGAGAGACTGGAGGTAGTGAGAGGGAGGGAATAAGAAGGAAGGGAGCCAAACAAAGCTGAGCAAAGGGTGACATCATCTGAAGTCACTGAATCTGCTGTCCCCATCACTGATAAGTTTTTTTGCACCCTGAAGGCCTCTTGGCCAATGCAGCAATCCAAATAAGACCAAATTAGGATAAGGCCCAGTTTAATGGATAAAGTGTTCCTGGGTGATTCCCTGGCCCCGCAGAGAGGAGATTGGGACAAAAGGCTGGAAGGACCACGTGTCTGTTTTCTGGGATGCAGCTTATATACCCTGTGGGAGTGCTCTTGAGCCTCTCTGGGGGAGGAGCTGTGTTTGGCTTGGCAGGCTTTGAAGGGGCAGGATTAGGGAAAGAGATGGGGGAGGGGAGTTGAGGTGGATCTTCCACCAGAACATTCCAGACTCTGGGTATATGGATGCCAGGGTGTCAGGGGCTAAGGTGGCTCTTCCACCAGGACATTCCCCACTCTTTGGGTATAGAGATGACATTTCAAGTCTGACTACTTCCTGCAGGCGTGAGGCAGCATGGGAAAGAGGAGTCCGGAATTGGCGAGCTCACACTCAGCAGGAGGTGTGAGGGCAGGAGCATCTGGTAAATTGTCATCCTGGGGACCTCAGGTATCTGTTTCTTGAGGAAGCAGAGTAGGCAAGTTTCTAGAAAAAAATAGCTTATTAACATCTGTCCTAGCTGTACTGCAAAGATGAATGCATAGAGCAGAGGAACAGACAGGCCTTTCATTGGGACATCTTGGAAAACTGGAGGGTGGAGGTTCCCAGCTGCTTGCCAGACCATGTATCCTGAATAGGTGCCCACTTGAGCCTGGAGAGATGACACCAGCACAGACTTCCCAGGAGCTTGACAGCCAAGCGGGTGGTGAGGATCATAGTATAAGGACCTGTCCATCGGGGCTCAAGAGACTTAGGGGCTAGCTGTTTGAGGAGTACTCTGTCCCCTGGGGAGCATCAGACAGGCTCAGGCCCAGTTGGGTCTGTTGGTGTGGGGGCAGGGAGATAGCTGTCAGCATGTGAACAGAGAAGGGACCTCAGAAGGGAGAGGTAGAGGAGATACCTGGCCAGTCAGTGGGGGAGTTTGGGCCAGGGGGTAGTGATTGAGGAGGAAGGGCCTTCCATAAAGGATCTCAAAAGGGCTCAGGCCTGCAGAACAGCATGGGGTGGCCTGGAGGCAAGTGAGGGCAATGGGGAGAAGGGAGGGCCAAGATAACCTGAGTTCAATGGAGAGCTTGGAGAGCTGTTGTTTGATGAGTCCGTTGACCTTCTCAACCTTTCCCGAGGATTGTGGGCAATAGGGAATGGGAAGCTTCCAGGAGATGTTGAGAGCACCGGACAGGAGCCCCATGACCCTACCAACCCTCTCCGGGTTGATGTCCTCAAAGCTGGTACAGAGGCTGACATATCTGGAGGGCTCCTGTGAATGGACCTGTGAAATACTCAGGAGAGTGTGGGGGCCAAGATGAGTGTAGCCCCTAAAGTGACTGAGAATATTGTGACCAAGCAGAGGTGCAGGGCAAGCAGGTATGACCAGAAAGAGTGTGAAAAGAATCACCCTGCAAGAATGCAGGGGGTGTCAGGGTCTTAAGTGGGAAGGAAGGGATCCCATCCAGCCCCATGACAGAAATTGGTGAGGGAACTGTAGGACCTGAGTGAGATGTCAAAACAGAATAGTAGCTCCGGTGTCCAGAAGAAAGTTAATGGACTCACCCGTTACCTGCAGCGTCACCCTAGGCTCAGAGAGGGCAATGGGAGCCAGCAGGTCTAGGCTGTGTCAGTCCTCTGCCAGGCTTAGGCCAGAAGAGTCTCAGTTGCCAATGCTGGTAAGGCTGGACCTCCATGGCATGGCATAGGGGATGAGCCTCCATGGGGCATTTAGATCTTCAGTGTCGCTGTCGCCAGATAGGGCATGGCCTCCTGGGCGACTGCTGGCTGCATTTCTGGTGGAGTCGACTTGGACTGAGCTCAGGTGGAATGGAGCATTGTGGCTGACTTCCCTTGTACCCCTTGTGGGAGCCCTGGTAGCCTCAGGGCAACCTCTAAGGCTTGGGCTTGGAGCATATTCTGTTGTAGCCTTGTCTGTTGGGATGACTCAGTTGTCTCTTTTGGAGCATTAAAAATATTAAAAGTCACTTTCACCAATTCTTGTAGGGGAGTTTGGGGACCCCTCCTCACCCTTTTTTAATTGTTGTAATATCTGACACTGATTGAGAAATGAAATGGGTGGGAAGGCAAGAGTCTGGGGAGACTGAGTATCAGAAGAAACTGGAGATTTGGGGGTATTAGGCCAGCGTGTAAAAGGGAACCAGGATATAGGTTGAGGCATTGGGGATGGGGGGAGCAGTGGAGGAAGGGGAGGACAGGAAGGAGGGTAGGGAGGAGGAATTTGGTCTTAGATTTATGGCCCTAGAGGAAGGGGTTGGGCAGGTAGAGCTGGGTGGGGGGGAAGTTGGGGAGGGGCCAGTGTCCTTGGCAGCATGGTCAGAGTGGAATTTTTAGGATCCCAGTTCCCAGACAGGTGGGAATCTGGAGAAGCCATGACCCTAGCAACAAGACCGGTGCTGTGAGACATTGGCCCCTGTAGGGAGGGTGGGAATGCAGAAGCCAAAAACCGTGGACATAGGGCAGTTCTGTCCAATTGTATCAGACAGCCCCAATTTGAACAGATTTTGTAAAAGATGCCACAGGGGCATTTGGGGATCAGGCTTTGGATGGCAAATGCCGTTTCTCAAGTCTATTCTGGGGAACCAAAGCCTAGTACAGTGTGTCCACTGTGGTAAGTCCTGGGTCAAAAAATGGGGGGTGTGGGAAATTCCCCTCAACAGAATGTCTTCTGGAGAAGGGTCCCACGGGACAAAGGCAGTCCTCTGCACAGAAATGGGTCAGGTGGAGCAAAGGTAGCCCTATGCTCTGGAAAGGGTCAGAGGCCTGGTGCAGCCATGTCTTTAGCAGGACACCCCGAAAAACGAAGAGGTCCTGGGCCTCCTAGCCAATGACTTGGAAAGGAAACTTACCCAGCCAAGAGCCAATCTTAGTCTGGCAGAAAGCAGGTGTAGGAGAGGGGGGGGGGGAGTCAGCCCCCCCTTCAGTGGGACCTCCAGATGATAACTCATTTTGCACCCTGAAAGCCTCTCCACCAATGGAGCAATCCAAATCACACCAAATTAGAAAAGGCAGAGTTTAATGGGTAATTTCCCCGGCCCTGCAGAGAGGAGACTGGGATGAGAGAATAGAAGAACCACTTGTCTGTTTTCTGGGATGCAGCTTACATACCCTGTGGGAGTGGTCTTGAGCCTTTCTCCGGAGGGTTTAGGGAAAGAGATGGAGGAGGGGAGTTGAGGTGGACCTCCCACCAGAACAACCACCATGTATTCTAGAGCCACAGAAACATTGTACACCATGAACCATGCTTGATCCCACCTATAAAAGCCACCAGCACGGAGTAGGTGCTGGCCACAGACCCTGCCCTCAGCCTGGAAACAGAGGTCTGTGACAGGGCTCTGCTCCTTAGGGAACATAAAGGGAGCCTGGTATCTGTCCTGCCAGTTCCCAGGACAGGCAGCTCAGGGAAAGGGCTGCAGCATCAAGTCCCTGGGTTCTGAGGAGGAAAGGCACTTACTTCCCTGAGCTGGGGGAGGTTCTCTGCAGAGCAGGGCTCTGCTTTGAATACAAGGGAAAGATGCAGCAGGGATCATGGCCTGCCCCCTTTCTCCATGAAGACAGCACCTGTCATCCTCACCAGTCCTGCAGGAGCAGTGTGTCCAGCCCTAGAACCTGCTGTTATAAGAGAGGCTGGCAGGGTTCCTCAGTGATTGCTGGGATGGTTTATCTCTGCCCCTTCCCTGGTACAGCTGGAATGGCCTAGTGAAAAGTGAAAGCTAGTGTAGTCTGTATTCAGATCACAGGAGGTGATACTGTTGGAGTAGAAGGTGCAGTGGAGAGCTGGGCTGGTCCTGAGGGAAAGCAGGCAGCCATCTGAACTGGTGTCCATATGGCAGGTCCTGGTGGGTTGAGTCCAAAATAAGCAATTTCTAGAACTTAGGACAGGGCCAAAGGCCCCTGAAAGTGAGTTTCGTTTCTGAGCTCAGTTTCTGGGTGGGAGGAGGGGTAGTGGGAGACCATTTCCTTAAGTTTCAATTCTCCCCTGGAAAGGGAGGAGCCAGCACTGTTTAAACAAGTCAGAGCCATGGCAAGTGCACAGTCTATCACTGAGCAGAGCATAGGAGTGGTGAGTACAGCACAGGATTCTGTGCAGGGCTGGGGTGACTCTGGGTTCCTTATAGATCCTGGTGGGCACTGTGGGACATTTGTCAGTGCTGTTAAATAGGAGCATCAGTGACAGCACAGGCAGGGCTACTGGAATAGACACAGTGGGTCCCACGCAGCTTCTGATTTCAGGGGACAGTCTGAAACAGCCCCACATTTCCAATACCTCTCTGCCAGGAGGGAACAGGAAAGGGTGTGGTCCTTGGGATCTCAGAGGTCTTGGGCTAAGGCCTAGATGAGAGGTGTCAAATCCCCTGCTACATGGGCCAGGAGCCCATGGGAAAGCAGATGGAGGTCTCTTGTTAAGGGTGGGAGGAAGCCATGTGACCCAGGGACAGGCTTTGAAATGCAGATAGAAGACTCCTTTGGGGACCCTGCTGGAAGGGCTGGCAGAGGATCTGTGTAGAGAAGTAAATTTCCAGGATCTTCCCAGTCCCCAGACAGAGATGTCCTGGGTGTTCTAAGCCCTACCTGTGCTGAGAGTCCAGGGTGTCCCACAGACCTTTCATTTCAAAGGCTCCATTGCAGGGGGACATGGAGGGCAGGAACCTAGGAGGAGAAAGGGATTTCTGTGGACACTTGAACACCCAGACAGGCCTGGGGAGGCTTCAGCTGTTATCATATCAGAGTTTTCCTGGATACACAGGGTAGGGGGTAGTTACGGGTTTTGACAGTGAAAGGTGATGAATCCTATTCCCATGCTGCTCCTGTTTCCAACTGGGCTCGGGATGTTTTCCCAACAGAACAGAAACCTAGGGGAACCCTGCCATTGGGATCTTTATCCATAATAAATTGTATATGATACATGAGGGCCATTGGCAAATGCCCACTGCCTACTATAGAGTGGAAGTGTAGCCAACCACCCCAAGGACAGCACAATTGGGCACAGGTATGCCTGGATAGGAATGCTTAGAGCCACCACACCTAGTTACTTATGTGGACCTGACCCTGAATTTCAGGTGAGGCAGGAGTCTGCATTAAATGTGATGGAGCTGCCCTGATGGTCTCTGTGCATTGGGATCTGTAGTGTGAAACAGTTAGGATGTAGGGAGACAGGAAGCAGGGCATCCTGTAGCTCCCCTGCAAATTAGGACTGATCTAGTGTTGGGAGCAGCTTGTGCTTGACTGGACCAAGATCTAGATGGGCAGATGCACTCACCTCAGGTTGACAGTGCAGCTGGGTGCCCAGGGCACTGAAAGAACAGAGGAGGGTGTGATCCTTGAGGTTGCTCTGCTCCTGAAATCCACCAAGTCTCAAAGGTTATTGAGAAGATTTGCACATGCTTGTGATTTGCAGACAGAACATAGGGCTTAGATACCAGAAAGGGAACAGACTGCCTGTATCCTGTTTTGACTGGTTACTAGGAGTCTTTGGTCATGGGACAAGCCTGGGGACCAGTGATATCCCTTGATTGTGCAGGGAGACTAGCCAAGAAAGCCATGGACCAATAGATGAGGGTCAATCTGAGAGTAAAGGGTATTCATTCTGGAGCCTGGGACTCCTTGTAATATGAGGTCTTTCCAATGCAGGGGAAGGAGAGCTGTGTCTGAAGAATGTTCTAGATTAACAGCCTCCATGAGTGCATTTAGAATTACTCCCCTTTCATGATTCTCCTCCCACATCAGAAATAAACACCTGCCTCTACGAGGTGACATGAATGGGTAACGTTGATGGGAATCATAGTCTCCTGGGGAATGTAGAGAAGGAATGGAGGTTGTAATACTGTTGTCTCTGATGTATGTGAATCTTAATCAAGGTCTGGATAATTAGTTTCTAATTTATAATCTTCATTTCCAACAGAATACCCAACTGGAAGCAGAAATCAAAGATGGTTCTCAGTACAGAAGAAATCGGGAGCTCTACTTCCTTAGCCTCACCCAGTGACCCATTGCCCAGTGGAGAGACTGACCTAGGAGAGAAAACCCAGGTATGACCATGTCCATCTGAGGGCTGCTGCTTTATGTCACATCCCCTGCAGATGGCTTCCTGAACCCTCCTGGGGCAGGATGTTGATAGGGGTCTACTGTTCACTTTTCTTGGGCCAAGGTGAGACCAGTGAACCTCCTTGGTCCTTCATGGGTTGCCATCTTGTTCTGGGAAAGATGGTATCATTGGGGTCTGGCAGAGTCCTGGTCAGAACTATGCTGTCCCCTGCCCAAACCATGGCTTAGTCTTCAGCTACACTGTCAGGACTCACTGAGACACTATCTCCTGGGAGAAGGTGCTTGGGTCTGTTTTTATAGAGCTGTAATCCAGTTTTGCTGGCAAACAAATATGCTCTCTGGAAGGAAGCCTGTCAGCCTGGTTTCAGCCTGACCCAGTCAACTGTCTGACCTTGGAGGGTCTTCCTCCCTTTAGCAGTCGGTTTTCCATCTCCACAGTGGGATTGGCAGCATGGCCTTTGAAAGGAGTCAGTGCAGCTCTTTCTGGTACATAGAACTGTGTGCTTACTCCATGTTTGAGACATTGGGCCACCTGGCTGCCTGTTCCATTGTCTAATTAAAGCCCAACACTTTTAAATTCAGTATTAACAACAGTGTCATAGGTCACAGGCAATGAGAAAGGCCACTGTCTCTCCATCTCTCTTAATCTCTGTATTTCCTTCTTGAAAGGATATAACCCTCAGAGTGAGGGGAAGAAAGTACTCAACCCAATGCATCAGTCAGCTCTCCATTGCTGTGACCAAGTTCCTGAAAGAATCAACTTAGAAGGAGGAAAGGTTATTTGGATCACAGCTTGAGAAATTACATCCATGCCCACTATGTGCCATTGCTCTAGGTCTGTGATGCATAGCATGATGGAACAAGGCTGGTGTCCAATGACTGGGGAAAAGTAGAGTTAGAGGAAGGGTCAGGGTCCAAGTTCATTTCAAGGTGGTCCTGCCAATGATCTATACCCTCCCAGAGGTCCCCAACTCTTCCAATCCCATCACATTCCAAGAACAGCTGGGGACCACACCTTCACCAGGTGGTCTTTGGAGCATGAATCAGAACTAAACTTATATACTCTCACACTCACATGCTTTGGGAGCAGCTGGCTCTTTCTGTCCAGGTGACAGACTATCTATGGTTCCTTAGCACAATTTCTAGGCAGATAGGGACTGAGTTTATGGTTTGGGTACTTTAGGTCCACAGTAGCAGCACAGCCTCCTCTATACCCTCAGGTATTAGAAGAGACCTAGAGCTGGAGACATCTGATCCAACAGGCACAGGTGTGCTCTGCTGCAGAAGCAGGTGAGACTCTTTCACCTCTTAGGAGTACAGTTGTCAGCAACAAAGCCCCAGAGGATCTGGTGCTGGAGTGCTGGGATCAAGGCCTGCGTATGGAGTGCTATTGCAAAAATCCTTTCCCTGGGGGAGACAGCATATATGCCCCTCTTTCTAAGTTCCCAAGGACAAACCAAGGAGCAATTCCACCAACATTCACTAGGGAACCAATGAGTTTATTAGGCTTCCTTGCAGAGCAATGTGGAAGAGGTTACAGCAGGAATCTGAGTGGCCTTAAAGCAACCACACTGGAAGGTCTGCATCTAGCAGGGACAATGGCTCCCCCAAGGCTGTGTAGAGGTCCCCTCCTGTCCCTACTTCTAGCTCTCCCATAGACCCAAGGCCGTGTGCAATTAGAGCAGAATTACACACAACTGGGAAGAATGTCTGGGTACTCATGGGGGATCCCATGACCCTCTGCATCTTCCTCCTGTGAGGGAAGATCAACAGATGATCTACAAAGCTGCAAAGGAAATGGCTATGTGTCTGCGTAGAAAGCTTTAGCTTAGGCAACAGCACAAGGAGCAGCTTGGCGAGAGGCAGGCAAATGATACTGAAAAGCAGGACTATGGTTGCCAAGAGCCTCTGGTAGAGGGACCTGCTGGCATGAAGAGTGATGAGAGAGAGGTGAGGTGTGGGTGGAGTGTCCTGGTCCTAGCAGAAATTGTTTCCTTCATGGGAGTTGGGGGTGAGGAGCCAGTGCCTTAGCTTATTGCTCTTTCTATTTTATCAACTGTTGTCAATGGACGATACAAGGGCACAAAAACAGAATGTTGTCAGGACTCAGACTCACTGCGGGACACCATAGGCATATTGAAGTCTCAGACCCAGCCTTCCAGCAGCTGTCCTGGGTGTGCCCAGTGGGGTCAGACCACATCTGGCTAGGGAGTCTGTGTCAGTGTGGACTGTGTTAGGCTGAACCCTAGTGTTAATCTTTTGTCAGATACGTACTTTGCAAACATTTGCTACCTGGCTGACGCTTTTTTCCTTTTTGGGAGACCAGGTTTTCAGCTCTGGTGACTTTATGTATTCTAGTCTGGATTGTACCTTTTGGGTCATCTCTAATAAACCAGAACCTAACTCACATTTGTAGATTTTTGCTCTTGCTGTTTTCAATAATACATTTTTTTTGTCTTTTCCATCTAGGTCTCTGATGGTTCAAAAGTTCATTTTTATGATGTGAGGTAGCAATGTAGGTCTTTTCATTTAAATGTAGACAGTAAAATGTTCCAATATGGCTTGGTGAAAAGCCGTCTTTTCCCAGATATTGCCTTTGTATATTATCATTAGTTCCATGTGGTGACTTTCATGGCTGTATGTTGTGTTCCACTAATGCCCTGTTCCATTCTGTGAGAACACCCTCTTAGCTACAATTTTATCACTATTTCAGGACAAGAGGCTTCCACTCTCCTAGTTTGTAGCTCTGTTTTAGAGCCATTTTGCCTGTTGGAGCAGAATTTAAGCCATTTATAGTTAAGATCCTGATGTTAGATGAGAACACCTGTTGCTTTGTTCTTTATGTGAAACATTTTTCCTTCCTCCCCTTTTCCTTACATTCTTCCACATTTAGGATTGAACATCTGTATTTTAGGAGTGCATATCATATACTCTTCTGGCTGTTTCACTATGTTAGTGTCTGTAGTGTTCACCCTTAATAAATGCAATAAGTCTATCCATGAGGGACAAAATAAAAACTTCCTATGTGGTGTAAGAACCTTTCTCTGCTATTGGCCTCCATCCTGTCTGTCATGGTCTTCCTTACCCATTAATTAGAAACCCCACAATGTATTGCCACTGTTTGTGCTCAGGTACCACTTAAGGATGGTGAAGTCATAAGAAATCTGTACCAGTCACCACTTGTGTTGTCAGAGCCATGATATGGATTTAGGATTCCTCTCCTGTCACTTTCCTTCTGTACTCAGAATGCCTTTTACAATTCCTGCAGTGTGGACATGCTAGAGATAATTTCTTAAAGTTTCATATCTTGAAAGTCCAGGTTTTGCCATAATTTTTGTGTTTCTATTTATAATAAGCATCTCCTTGTTTTCATGAGAACAGCAGAGGGGAGTTTCAGAGTAGGACACTGGTTATCTGACTCCTAAACTGTCACATTTCAACCAGGGCGAACTCAACTCTCCAGGGTGATCTTAACTCTCCAAGTATTAGTTTTCCACTTAAATTATGGGATCTAGTGATAAAGGGCACTTGTGTAATTTCTTCACTGTAGGGATGGGAAAGATATGTGAAAAGTGTCCAGTGACCTATCCAACACTTACCACTAAGCCAGACTCTCATCTCCTTTCTAATGGAGTTGTAATTTAATTAACAGTTCTTAAGAATACTTAAGTAACAGACACTTCCAGCATCAATTGGACCAATAGGTAAATAATTGTTCTTCCAGCTGGACAAGCCAGTCTCTAGGCCCTACACCCCAAGGCACACCCCATGCCCCTCTACCCCCACCTACCACAGTCCCAGTAGTAGGTCAGCAGGCAAGGTTCCTACAGGCAGGCCTTTCAACTACTCCCAATATTGGACCCTGTAATCTACAAGTCTCACTCCACCCCCCAAACCCACCCCACCATCATGACCTATGGGGCTCCCTGAGACTCAGACACTGCCAGCACTGGTTGGACCAAGAACAGCTCCCTGAGACAACGATACTGCCATGTATCAATTAGATGAAGAGTGGCCCCAATAGGATGAAGAGTGGCCCCTGGAGGAACACGTGCCAACTGCACAGATTGGAGGAAAAGATGAGTAGACTCCATTGCACACATATATTCAACAACATAAAGAGCAATATGGCACCACCGGAACAGCAGTCCTACAACAGGAAGACCTGAACATCCCAACATAAAAGAAGCAGAAGAAAATGACCTTTATGACTTTATGAGGATGATAGAGGTCTTTAAAGGGGAAATGAAAGTCTCTTAAAGAAATTGAGAAAAAATCAAACAAAAATTGGAAGAAATCAATAAATCCCTTAAAGAAAGCTGAGAAACCAAGAAAAAGGAATAAAACATGTGAAGGAAACAGTTCAAGACTTGTAAATTGAAATAGAGGCCAACAAAAAAAAAATACAAACACAGGGAATTCTGAAAGTGGAAAATGTGGATAAATGAACCGGAACTACAGATACAAGTATAACCAACAGAATGGAAGAGATGGAAGAGAGAATCTCTGGCTTTTAGGATATGATAGAGAAAATAGATTCATCTTTCAAAGAAAATATTAAAGCCAACAAAGTCATAACACAAGAAGTTTAGGAAATTTGAGACACCATGAAAAATCCAAACCTAAGAATAATAGGGATTGAAGAAGAAGAATACCAGCTCAAATGCACAGAAAATACATTAAACAAAATCATAGAAGAAAACTCTCCAAACCTAAAGAAGGAAATGCCTATGAAGATACAGGAAGCTTACAAAACACCAAATAGACTAGACCCATCCAAAAAATTCATTTAACCACATAATAATCAAACCAATAAACATACAGGATAAAGAAAGCATATTAAGAGCTGCAAAGGAAAAGGGCCAAGTAACATGTAAAGGCTGACCCATCAGAATAACATCCAACTTCTCAATGGAGACTCTGAAAACCAGAAGGTCCTAGACAGACAGTATGCAGACACTAAGAGACCTTGGATACCAGACCA